GTCCCCCCGTTGCGACCCCTGCCGAATCTCTATTGGTTATGGGCGGGAAAATTAGCGTTACTATCGTTGGAATCTAAAGAAAAAGGATTTAAGTGGTATTACACTGTATCTAGATATTTTGAGGAAATACGATTAAAAAATACAAGGAATTTGTAAACTTAGGAGCATGCCTAATTAGGCAAAATTCCATCGAATCAGGTAGGAAGTAAGCAAATAGCCCCTAAATGTGACCTTTCCCTCAATTTTAGGGGAGCTGCAGAGTTCGGGTTCAATCAAGTAGAGAAAAGGGATTTTGAAGAGAAACTGGAATACTGATTCAAGAAATACTAGAAAACCTAAGTTGAAATGCGCTGGCCTAAAATTTTGCAAATCTTCCCGCTGAAATTTAAACATATGTTATCCTAAAGTTAAAATAATGCCTTCTACTTGTATTGTGAAGGAAATATTCTTAGCCAGAAAAGAGTCTCTAAACAACAAAGAAGTATTTTGTTCAATTTTTGAAATTAATGTCAAGTCTGTCTGAAGATTCAACTACGGATTTAAGGAATCTTAAGAAAATCCAAGGATTTTTGCCCATTTTAGCTTGTGCAATACAGTTGAATCAACTTCACAGATTGGAATTTAGTTATATCTCTTTTGAAAATTTTTCTTTTGCTTTCTTTCCACCTCTCCTTGATTATCGCGTTCACCACAAGTTTTCTTAGAAGTTTTTTTTTTCCAATATTTTTCTGACGCTCTTCCCTTTAATTTTTGAAAACGGAGATATTAATGAGTTTTTCTGTTTTTCTTTTCGAGGAATGGTGAATTTCTGTTGCTCCTCGGAAATTTCTACTTCTCTACTTACGGTCACACAGTGAGATAAGATCGACTTTCCCGACAACTTACATCGATTAACTGCTGAGCTATCGATGTTATCGATTGCTGCAGGAGAGAGTTGTTGACGCTGCAGAGAACCCAGAGACGGATGAATACGGTAGGGACAAGTGTTGCGCATGGTTACCGCAAATAGACTAAGCGCAATAACGTAGTTAAGTAAAAAAAAAAGCGATTCCGTTTTTATTTCAGAAGAAGCTAATGTTAAAAAAATGAATAAAAAAACTTTAGGTTTGAATGCAAGATTATTTTTAAGTAATTTATCACCTTACACAAATGAAGAAAAAAACTTTAGGTTTGAATGCAAGATTATTTTTAAGTAATTTATCACCTTACACTCTTATCACTTAAAGGCTAATATATACAAGAATTGAAGATTTATATTTAAGTTAGGGCCGTATTTAAAGTCGGTATAATGAAAATAAAGATGAATAAATATGAATATAATTGATTGACACCTGCTAGAAGTCGTTGTCTGCACCTATAAGCATCTATAAAAAAACGACACTTAGTGGAAAAAGAGGAAAAGTTACCCATGTTTA